CCGAGACCCACAGGTTGAGAACCGCCGTAGTAGTGGTTGACCTTGAACTTCTGATCTGTCTTCCTCCCATTCCTGCGTGCTAGGATTACAGGTGCGTGTTACCACACCTGCTTTTACAGGCACTGAGGACAGAACTCAGAGCTTCGTGCGGGCTAGGCAAGCACTGTGCCAGCCGACACCTCCAGCTCTTATTTTCACTTCCGGTCTCCTTTTGGTGCTGAGGCCTGTGTACACTTAGACAACTACCCTGTTCCTACGTGACATCCCAGCCCGAAGAAGATACACTCTAAATGACATCTTATTCTGTAGGAACGTATTTCTTTTAGAACCAATGTCCAGCCAGTACGCTGAAACAGACTTGTAATCTCAGCTGCTCAGAAGACTGAGGCAGGAGGATAACAAGTTTAAGGCCTGTCTGGGCTACAGAGTAAGAGCAAGACCACCGTGGGCAATTTGGAGCGGCTAGGATCCCTTCCTGGACTTTTGGCTAATACTAACTGTGAAGGGGACTGGCAGAGAAGAGCCCAGGGGGAGCTGGCTAGGCATATGCACCCTTACGGTGAACAGGGTTTCCATTTTGCACGCTTGTTCAGGGCAGCATGGTGTAGTCTTGGGGCTGCAGGTGGTAGACCTGGTGTCCAAAGGCCAGGAGTCCTTGAGAAAGCAACAGAAGCCACCTAGGCCTCAGGTTCCTTTGCAAACAGCTAGGGGCATTGTTGACGCTTGCTTCCATGGCATGACTGTAAAGAGGCCAGAAAACATACAGCACATGACATGCTATGGAGAGCATCCAACACACCCAGATTACTGCTACTGGAGTTTTTTACAGTCAGAGAAGCCTGGATGAGCAAGGCTCAGTCACCCAGCCTCCAATACACCGATTTAAGAGACGCATAACGAAAAGCAGGCAAGAGATTTATTCAGCATGGCCACCTTGGGAAGAGGAGCAAATAAAGAGTCCAGTAGACGCTAAGTCCACTTTCAGAGCCTTGACATAAGGTGCATGTATTTTTTTTTTAAAGTATATTTTAATTTAAATTTTATGTTCAAATTTTACGTCAGTGGGTGTCTTGCCTGCATGCACCTCTGTGTGCCACAAGCATGCAGCTCTTCCAGAGGCCAAACGAGGGCATCAGATCCTTTGGGACTGGAGTTGGAAATGGTTGTGAGCTGCCATGTGGGTGGTGGGAATCGAACCCAGGTCCTCTCCAAGAGCAGCCAAGGGCTCGTAACCACTGAGACATCTCCAGTTTCTAAGGTTTATGTTTAAGTAGGGGTCAAGAGTTCTGCATAGCTAAGCTGTCCTGGTCAAAGTGTGACCCTATCTGTCACTGACCCGTCATTATCTCAGCTTCTTGTCTCTCCTGCAAGGTGAGCTGACAAATAGTCGCAGGAGGTCCCCCTCTGGCTGGAACCTGGCGCTCCAGCCTTTCCCTCCTCCGATTTCTCTTGGGTGGGGAGTGCATGGGGATGAGGAGGTGGGGGATTCCAATTACCTGCAGACCACTGTTTCTATAACCTAATAGTTGGAGGGCAGACACCAGTCTCTCTCTCTTTAGAATAGCTTGCCTCCAGCCATGCCAGTGACACAGGGCAGCTGGATCCCTGGTGCTGTATGAGGGTGCGCTATGGGAGGGGTGGGGCCTGGGCATGTGTGCATGGAAACGACAATGTCACTCTATACTGAGCTTGAGCCCTAAAGTGACAGATGTCCTTACAAGAGGAGGGACCTAGAGAGGAATGAGAAGAGGGTGAAAGACATTTCAGTTGCTGTGTGCCAAGGAGCCTGGAGCCATGAAATACTAGAAATGACAGGAAGGGTTGTTTCCAAGAACCTTTGGGGGAAATGAGGCCCTGCCCGCACCTGGATTTTTAGCTTCCGGTGTCCAATGAGACAGGATAGAAAGACGGGAGGATTATGGGGACATGTGAATGGAAAAGATGCCTCCATCTGCACCTGCTTGCAGCCTCTCTCCAGCCAAGAAGTAAAGATTCCAGCACATTTAGCCTTCCTCCTTCCCGGCTGTAGCCTGCAATTTTCTAGGAATCTCACCAGAAACTGCACCACAGTAAAAGATAAACCTAAACCTAACCCCCGTGCAACCCGAGCACTTCCCTGTCTCACTGGATCGGATCCTAACTCCACGCACTGCACATTAGCCCCGCAGCCACCCTGCGGGATCACTTATCAAAAACTAGAGGGAGGGGTGGGGTTGTAGCGCAGCTGGTAGCATATTCGGCTGCCATCACCTCGAATCCCCCAGTCCAGGCGTCAACACCGTAGACTGTGGTGCATAGTCACCCCAGCCCTTGGGAGGCAAAGGCAGGAGGATTAGACGGTCAAGGTCACCTTTGGCTACTTAGAGGGCTACAGAGGCCTTGTCTCTGAGAGGGGGAACGGGAAGGGAGAAGGAAAGGGTGGAAGAGGGAGGGAGAGAATTGTTAGCAAGCCTTTGAGATGTAACTTGAAAGTAACCAAAATGATAATTACGTCTATCGATAAGACACTTAATTGAATCTCTCTCTTAAAAGGCATTAGTTACTTATTTGTTGCTGTGATAAACCACCGTGGCCAGTGCCACAGACAAAAGAGTTTCTTTAGGCTCATGGTTCCAGGGGGATAAGAAGGTTCCACTGTGATAGGGGAGTGTGGCCCCAGGCGGCAAGAAGCAGAGAGTTCCCGTCCTTAATCTGAGAGAGCAAACTGGAAGTAGACAAGGCTTGTTAACCTCAAGGCCCTCCCCCCAATAACGTACTTCTTTGGGAAGGCTGCACCACCCGAATCTCTCCAGGGCTTCAGCCTTTTCTTCTCCAGTGTCTTAGTTAACTTTCCTATCTCTGTGAAGAGACTCGCAATTTAGAGAAGAGAGTTTTTTGGGAGCTTCCAGTTTCAGATATGAGTCTGTGACCACCATGGTGAGGAGCATGTGGGAGGCAGGCAGGAATGGTGTGCAGCAGTGGCCAAGAGCTCCCGTCCGAGCCACAAGGTCAAGGCTCTGAGAGTCCACCTCCAGCGGCACACCTCCTCCGGCAAGACCACACCTCCTCCGGCAAGGCCACACCTCCTCCGGCAAGGCCACACCTCCTCCAGCAAGGCCACACCTCCTCCAGCAAGGCCACACCTCCTAAGTCCTTCCCAGAAGGTCCATCAGCTGGGGACCATGTATCCCAACATATACACCTATGGGGAGCATTTTCCCTCAAACCACAATGCCTTGGCATGAGATTTCCTGGGAAATTCTAATTCGTTAAGGGCCACTGTTTCATCAGCCTGCTGGCTGGAAAGGAGGGCGACAGTGTCCTCAGAACATGTTCCCTCCTGCCTGGCTGGCTGCATGGCTGCCCCACATGCATCACAGTCACGCTGTGATTCTTCCTCTTGCCTGCTTAAACACCATTCCGGGGGAGTCCCATGACCATCCATTTCTTACATTTCCTCTTCTGGGCTCAGACTCAGCTTCTGGCTTTGCTCCCAATTTCATGAAGAAATTAGCAACAGTCGGGAGAGCTTCCTCGCTGGGGATGCAGATCAGGGGAGGGTACTTACATAGCATGCACAGGCCACTAGTTCAATACCTAGTGGAAGGGAGAGGGAGAAGGAGGAAAGGGAGGGCGGGGGAGGGACAGAGTGACATCTGTCCTAATCCCTCTGTGCTCCTCTTCTATGGGTGACCAGTCTGATCCTGTAGGGGACTGCCCCTGCTGTGTACAAGACTCTGTGCCCTTACCCACCACCCCTCTCACTGCCTTGCTGGAGCCTATCACTTCACAAATATTCTGTGGTTTGCCCACCTTAAGCAAGCACGCAAGCCTAAACTGTTCCATCCCTACCTGGCCAACTGTTTCATTTTCTTATTCTGAGTGTGTATGTGTGCATACAGGGGATGCAGAGGGGCAGAGGATGAAGCCGGGTGTCTTCGTGATTGTGCTCCATCTTATTTTTTAAGATGGAGTCTCTGGTTGAACCTGGGTCTCATTTATTTGGCCAGGCTGACTGGCCAGTGAGCCCCAGGATCTCCCTGTCCCTGCCTCCCCGGCACTGGGATCACAGGTGCACACTGCCTCATTGGGTTTTTATGTGGGTGTCAGGATGCAAACTCAAATCTTTACTTTACTGACTAACCTAGCAGCAACTCCCTCATCCACCCACCCACCAACCCATTATCTATCCATCCACTCACCCCATCCATCCATCACCCATCTACTCACCCACCTATTCATCCATCATCCATCCATCCACCCACCTATCCATCCACCCACCTACCCACCATCCATCCATCCATCCACCCATTCATCCATCCATTTACCCCATCCATCCACCCACTATCCACCCACCATCCATCCATCCATCCATTCACCCATCTATCAATCACCCATCCATCCACCCATCCATCCATCATCCATCTATCCATCCATTTATCTCTCAAAGCAAGTGACTATCTCATTTCATCCACGATGCACAGATCAGGTGCTGGCACCTGAGTGGGCACACCATTCACAGATAGTACCTCCATCTGAATGGCTTGGGCCATGAAATGTCCCAGACCTTGCATTAGTGTTAAACCAGGCATGGTGTTGTGTGCCTGTAACCCAGCTCTGGGAAAGTGGAGATAGGAGGATCAGGAGTTGAAGGTCATCTTTGCTACAGGGTGAGTTCAAACCAGCCTGGGCAACAGAAGACCCTGTCTCCAAACTACTATCCCCAACACACACACAAGCACGCACAGACACACAGGTGCACATTCATGGATGGAGAGAGATGGCTCTAGCGGTAGAGAGCACTTGTTGCTCTTGAAGAGGGCGTGGGCCCAATTTCCAGATGGTGGCTCACAACCATCTGTCATTCCAGTTCCAGGGGCTCTAACACTCCTTCGCCTTTTATAGGCACCAGGCACACATGTAGTGCACAAGAACACATACAGGCAAAATGCTCATCACATAAACATACACATCTAGAACAAAACAAAAACAGCGTAAAAAGGAGGACGATGTTCCTGGTACTTGCTCAGACTCTCCCAGCTTTTATTAGGTGTCAGAGTATGGCTCAGCTCAAGTTCACATATGTAGAAAACTGGACCTGTCTGGCCCTTCCTTCCCCTGAGTACAGTTGCTCCTTCATACACAGCCAGGTTCACGCCATCTGCCTACCACCCTCTGAGCCTCAAACGTGTGCATCCTGTGAACAGTTTGGTATCTCTCCTCCTAGGAAGTCGCCAAGTCTTTTTGTTTCCGGTAGGTAGAGTTTTGCTGGCCTGGAACTCCTGGAGACTCTTGCCTCAGCCTCCTGAATACTGGGATGACAGGTGCAAGCCACCACCGCTGGGAAAGGTCACCACATCTTAAATAGGTACCATTTTCTTTCTTCTCAGCTTCTCCCTGACCTTTGTTGCCACCAATCATTCTCTCATCTATATATTTCCAGGTTTGACTCTGCTTAGCTTCCAAGGTTGGGGTCCTTCAGAAGGCTGTGGCTGTAGACACTGGTGGCCATCTTCCAATATGCAAATCCGATGCTCACCCCTGCTTAAACCCATGGAGTCCTGAAGTTAGATAGATCCTTCGGGGTGCTTTCTCCACTTGTGTCTTAGCCCATTTCCCTTTGTCTCTGGGAGACCCTTTCAGACCACTCCAAGTGACTTCGTGTCACGGCTTGGAACTGCCCACTTGGCATCTCTTGGGCCTGCACCTTGTGCTTCCTAGAAAGCTCTTGCTCTCTGGGAGCATCTTGCTCTGGTCCCTGGGGTCAGCTCTCCAGTGGCTTCCAAGCTATTCCAGGCAGTGATCCTGGGAATCTGGGGACACCCAGGGTCACTGTTACTTGTGTGGCACCTCTGTCCCTTTCACTTCACTGCGGTTTTCATTTCACTCTCTGGCTGCTGACTGTGACTACTGTTTGGTGTCCTGGGTCAGTCACTTTGTCCCCTCAGGTGTGAATGTGTGATGCCGGCTAGCAGGTGCACTCATGGGCTGTATGAAGGGTTTTGTCAGTGGGTGGCAGTCTTCAAGTCGGCCCTGGGAAATGCCAAAGCCCTTTCCTCCCCAGCATTCATGAGATGGAGTCCTTAGGTAGAGGCCCTCCTAGGGAGCCAGAGGTTTTCGGTGGGGTTTGATTGGCCAAAGTGAGCCTGTGAGAAAAGAAAAGTGACCTTAACTGAAGTCTACAGATGTATATGGGGTCTAATAGGACAGGGCTGGGAGGAGCCCAGGTTGCTCTCCAGCTTTCTGCCAGCTGGGGACAATAAGGAGTATCCCAGGATGGCTGGGTGGTTCAGTGGGTAGAGGTATTTACTAAGCAAGTCTGATGGCCTGAGTTTGGTCCCCAGAACCCACATAAAAGTAGAAGGAAAGTTCTGTCTCCACAAGCTTGCCCTCTGACCACCCTTCTCAGGCCATGGGGTATGCACTTCCTTCATAAACACATCATTCCCACAATAATAGTGAATTCAGATTTTTTTTTTTTTTCAATGAAACAGGCCCACTCTCTGAGTGGTCATGGTGGACCAGCCTGAGATGAAGCCACTCCTTGTGACGACGAGGCTTGGCACTGCATTCTGGGTCCCCCTGGAGAGGGCTTTTCACCAGATGCTGCTCAAGCCTTTGGGTTCTATCACCCCAGGGTCATCATCCCCGCTTCCTCCAAAGCCCTTAGCCACTCTCCATCAGCCAAGTTCTTTTGTTGTTGTTGTGACATAGTCTCAAGTGGCTCAGATGGCTTTGCTGATCCTGCTAGTTAGCCAGGGATGACCTTGAACTTTTGATCCTCCTGCCTCAGGCTTGAGCCACCATGCCCAGTTAATGCAATGCTGGGAATGGGTTCTGGGGCTTCGTGCACGCCAGGTGAGGGTGTACTAATAGCTATAAACCCAGCCTCACGGCCTTTCTTTTGAGATAGTCTCAGCTTGTTGCCCATGATGGTGCTAAACTCCCAATTCTCCTCCGGAGTGCCACCAGACACAGACACACACAGACACACACAGACACACACAGACACACACACACACACACACACACACTCCGTTCATTTTTGCTCTTAATGTCGTCTCTAATGTTTATTGGCCAAGTGACACAGGTGGCCTGCCTCTCCGTTCTTCCCTCATGAGACACTGGAGAAATAACCAGTAGCAAAGAGAAAAGGGGGCGGGGTAGGAATGAGCTCGGGGGAACCCAACATGTTATAAAGGGGTGAGAGTTTATTAATTACTCAGGTGTGGGTACTGTGCACACAGCACTAGGCCCAGGCTGGGCAAGATGTGCTCCCACCCTAGCCCACCCTAGCACGCTCGCGTGGGTGCCTCTGTGTGTGTGTCCTGACTTGGCAAGGGCTCACCTGGTCCCCCCCCCTGCTGCCCCCGTGGGTGTGATCCTGATGCTGGGTTGGAGGAGGAGGAGAATACGGGGGCGGGGGCGAGGGGAGAGGACGGGACAAAGTGGTCCACAGTTTGGGAGGCAGAGGGAGAGGACTGAAGAGTTTCAGGCCAGCCTGGACTACATAGCATTGAGGTCGAGACCAGCCTGGGCTGCATGAGCCCAAGTCCAAAAGGAAAAAAAAAAAAAAAAAAAAAGCGGCGGGGGAGGGGGCGCCGAGATGGCCCACTGGGCGAAGGCGCCTGCCGCCGACCCTGACCCATCTATCCCAGGACCCATACGAACCCACTCTCGAAAGTTATTCTCTGACCTCCTAATGCGTGCCCACTCACAGAAACACCCCTCCCAGATAAACGTAACACACATTAACAAAACCAAACCAAAAATTAAGGAAGGTCAGGATTCTGTTGGGTATCCGGCCGCGGCGGCAGGGTATCAGAACTCTGGAAGCCGGAGATCCACGGGAGGGCGGGACTGAATGAGGACAACGCCTCCGCCAGCCCAGGCCTCTTTAAGACGGCCTCCCCGGCCCCGCCCCGCGCCCCGCCCCGCCCACGTGACCCCGGTCTTGTGACCGGCGGGAGGGCGGGGAACCCTTGGCGCGCCCGCCCCGCCCGGCGCGCGCCTCACTGGGCCGAGCTGCCCGGGACACCGCCGTCGCCGCTACCGCCGCCATCCCCGCCGGGCCGAAGGAAGCGAGCCGGGCCGGAGCTGGCGGGCGCGCGGCCCCGCGGGCCGCCATGGACCACAAGCCCCTGTTGCAGGAGCGCCCGCCCGCCTACAACCTGGAGGCCGGCCAGGGCGACTACGCGTGCGGCCCGCACGGCTACGGGGCCATCCCCACCGCGCCCCCGCCGCCGCCCTACCCCTACCTCGTCACAGGTGGGCCCGCGGCTCGGCGGGGTCCCCGGGCGGCCTCCCGGCCGGGCGCCGCGCCCTCCCGGCCCGGGCCTGCCAGGGCTGCCCCTGCTGCCCGGAGCGCCCTGCCCGGCCAGGCCCTGCCCCGGTGGCCGTGAACTTTGTGTCGGAGGGTGTGCACTTAGCTTCTCGAGCCCACCCGTTGACGCGCTCAGCCCCGTTGGAGGCGGGGAGGACGGGGGCTTAGGGGAGGGAGGAGGAGGGCCGAGTCGCCCGGTGCTGATCTGCGCTCCGCTCCCACAGGGATCCCCACCAGCCACCCCCGGGTCTATAACATCCACAGTCGAGGGGTCACCCGGTATCCTGCCAACTCCATCGTCGTGGTCGGAGGCTGCCCCGTCTGCAGGTAACTGTAGCCGGGGGGGGGGGGGGGGGGGGGTGGCGGAGAACGCACGTGCCGGGGTCTTGCAAAAGGCCAGCGGGGGCTGGGGTGGGGTCACAGCCAGGCTCGCGTCCTAGAGGGAGTCCCGCCCGGGGACTGCAGTGGAGAAGGTGGGGTCACTCACCCGGGCTCTGAATTTATTTTATGCGGCAGAAGGAGGGGTTCCCTTTTCTGTGAGGGGTTGAGTGCATTTGGGAGGCATGCACCCGAGTGCGTGGGACGCTGGAATGTTAACAATGGAGCCTGATGGTCTTTCCCCCTAGGTTCTGAGTTCCGCAGCGAATCAGGGTTCATTTTTTTTTTTTCCCTTCCATTTCCGAAAGTGTAGTGTTACAGTTGAATCTTAGTAAGGAGGAATGGGGACTTGAGTCAGCTGGCCAGTATGCCTAAGGACTCGGGAGATTCAAGTGTCCAGGAGAGCAAAAAAAGGCTGTGAGGGTGCAGACTGCAGACCAGGGCTTAACAACTCCTGGCCACTAGCTGGCCCAGGAGGAAACCCCGTGCTTCTTTGTTCCGTGCTGGAGTTTTGTTTTTTTTTTTTTTTTCAGTATCCTCAAACTGGAGCTGACAGAAACTTTGAGAGGACTTTATGTGAGGCCAGAGAAGCAGCCAGGCTCATTTTAGGCAGGCTTTGAGGATTCAGATTCCAAGTCAGACTTGGCCAGTCACGCTGATAAGCCAGGTGGGGACTCGTGCAGGGCAAGGTTTCAGTCTTTTGTCTGGGAGGAGGAAGTTCGCAGTCTCCGAGATGGAATTAAGAAACCCTTGTTTGGACTTAGACTTCATTTTAAAGGTGTGTTTCAGAGGTGCAGAGTGGAGCCATAGGGAAGTTAATGATTTTAGAAACTTGAGAGTGCCTGCAGAGGAAGTGACCCGGGGTGGAAGGCACTGGATCCTCGGAGCTGATCCTGTGTGGTGAAGGAGGCCGAGGGCTGGTTAGAGTCCTCATTCAGGGACCCAAGTACAAAGTCAAGGTGGGGTGTCTGTCTGGCCCTGTTGAGTCATTGCCTGGCTGACTTTTGGAGCTGGTGGAGGGGAGAGGGGCAGGGGTAGGAATAGGCTGCTCCCTCTGACTGCAGGTGGGCTGGCTTAGTCTTGCTGACTGCCTCCCGATGCAGTTATCCACCTGATGGTGCAGAGTTCCACCTGAGGGTTTGAGGCGCACCAGGTAGAGCTGGTGGGCAGGAGGGGCACAGACTGGGAGGTGGTCCTAGCTTGTTGAGCAAGGGGATCGGTTTAGGGTCCCCTGTGCAGAGAGCCATCGGGGATAGTGGGCAGTTGCATGGAGGTGGAAATGGGAAACCTCCCTGTGTGGTGGTGAGGCTAGTCCCTGAGGGTCTCGGATCCCCAAGAATGGGGTAAATACTGGGTTATCTCTCAAGTTTAAGGAGAGGTGTAGGGCTGGCTGGCAGCCAGGCAGGAAGATGGGTAGAAGGATTATCAGTGGAGGGGCTCGCTAGGATTTCTTGTCTGTGCTTTGTCCAGCAACCAGCTGGATGTGGAACTGGATCCAGGTGCTGGCCCTACCACGTGTAGCTGTTGTGTGTGTGTGTGTGTGTGTGTGTGTGTGTTTGTGTTTTGTTTTTCTCTTGTCAGTAGATAGTAGATGGGAGGTTGTTCCCACGAGGGTCTGGAGAAGGGGAGGGGAGACCAGCAGCCAGGCAGTGTGGCTGCTGTGGCCTGGGAGCCAAGGCCGAGAAAACCCTAGAGCTGTGGAGTAACCCCAGCTGTAGTCTGGATTACTGTTGGGTGGAGAACACTTTCCCTGGGAAGTGAGTTGTATTGTTTTTCAGACTTGTGACTTTTGTTCATGGAGCTCTTCAGTCCTGTAGAATCTGGGACAAGGTCAGGCTGTGCCCGCTGCCCTTTCAGGAAGGTCTTGGGCCCTTGTGGGTGCTGCCCTCTTTGGGAATTTAGCTGCTTTTGTGCCTTTAGATAGAGACCTCCAGCATTAAGGAAGCTGGGTCCTCTGAGGACAAGTTTGGGGTTGCCTGATCTTTAAAGTACTGACCACTCTTCCATCCTCCCAGGCCACTTGTGTCTTGGCTGGGAGGAACAGGCTATTATGCACACCTCGAATCTTTGCAGGCTGTTCACAGGGTCCTCCGCTGCTAGCCCGTGGCTCCAAGGCTGATTCCTATCATTACAGAAGCAGGCATGCAGGGGTCTGGAGGTAAATAGAAGAGCAGGCAGCACAGGAGTGGCCAGCTTTGCCTTTGGTTTAGGGAGTGTGTGTGCTCCTGGGGTTGGGACAGAGATGTTCTCCTGGAAAGATTCAAGTCTGCCCCTGCCTGGCATGTTAGGGCCGGGAGGACACTTCTCATGTGACCAAGCTTTCTTCCTTCCAGATGTAGCCAGCCAGGCCCTGTCCTGTCCTTCCCTAGTGGCTTGGCAGGAATTTGTCCAAGTCACACGTCTGTGATTCCCTCTGAGTGAGACTTGGCATAAGAGGCTGGTGTCGCTTGTCACTTTGCCATTCTGTCTGAGTCGCAGTTAAGCAGCCTGACTCTGTCTTCCCTATATAGACATTTGCAAGAAGCATTTCTCTCACCCCCAATGGATGGGGCTTCCTTCAGCCCCGCCTGCAGTAATCGGTATATTAACGAAGGTCCTGGGTTCCTTAGGCAGGCGCCTTTCCGCTCCAAGGGTCTGTGGGTTGTCCCTAGATGCAGGGCAGGTGAGGCTGATCAGTGTGCCTAGGAGCACAGGTCACAAGTGGAATGTGCATGCACAGGGTGAGTGGTATGGCTGTGAGTGCTGCGCCTGCCAGGCACAGGCTCCTCGTGAATACTGGCTGGGCTGTTACTGGGTATTTAGTTATGGAGGTGACCAGAGAGACAGGAAGAAATCCAGGGCAGGGTGGGGTCTGGCCGCAGCACTGGGTCATTGCTGTAAAGGCTGTTGATAGTAAAGCTCCTGTGGGCTGATGTGGGTTTGGGTGCTATAGGGAATGTGAGGTGGTAGAGAGTCTGGGGGTGGTGGGTAGTGGCAGCCTTACATTTCTAATGGTGGGTGGGAGAAGGGCTTCTCTGCCTCATCTGTGGCTAAGGAGGTGAAGGAGCTGGCCTTGCCTGGCAGGACAGAGGCCAGTGTCCTGCTTGTGTGTTGGTCAAGGCATTTAAAGTGGAGGCCCACTTTGTCTCCCAGTCCTGGCTGGGGCCTCCTAGCTCTGGCAGTGTGGTACACAGCTGAATCTTGCGAGCCCTAGGGCACATGCCCTTGCCCTCCTTTTTTTCCCCACTGTGCTATGCTTTGACAGTTGACTTTTGAGACCTGTGCCCAGCTGGCAGGATATTTTGGGTTTGGTGCTTGTGAACGGCCCACATCAGGGAGATGTTCCCTGCCATGTGGGGATGCTCTGTGGAGTGGAGACTGTTTCTCTGGTGGCTCTGTTGTGAGCTTTCACTTCAGTAGCTGGTGGAGGAAACCCTCCATCCCTTTTCCTGGGGAAGTTGTCCTTCCAGTTCTAGGAATGTTGCAGGTGGTTCCCCGGGCTAGATGGCACCTGGGCTCGGCAGAAATAGAACCAGGGAACCTGACTGTGCTTGGATCCCTGCCACACTTCCACAGCTGTGTGGCCTCAGGTGCAGCTCCGATTTCATCCACCTGAAAGATGGGGCCAGGTTGTACCTATGGAATGGGGTGCTATGAGGACATTGAAGGAGTCAGGATGTTCTTTTCTGAATGGGTGCTTGTCCTTGGGACCTCTAGGGTCGCCTGTCTTCTTGCAGCTCTCTCCCCTTTCTCTACTCACTCTGTCCCTCTTGCGGCCATCCTGTCTGGTAGATGTCAAGGTTGAGTGGCCACTTGCTGTGGAGGCTTCAGTTAGGAGTTATTTGTAAAAGCTTTCAAAGTTAGTCACATTCCTAATTCTCTGTACTGTTTCCTCTCCTTTCCAGGTGATCTGTTTAGGGTGGGGGAGGGGCCATCCAGGTGCTGCCAGGAGGCCCAGAGTTGAGTTCTGAGCCAGGTGAAAGAGTTGAAACTTGTCCTGGCAGAGTTATGCTGTTTCGGAGGTTGTAGTGGAAGAGAAAGTGGGGCTCTTGGGGACAGGAACAAGCCAGCTGGAAGGCAGAGCTGTTCTATTGGGGCTGGGTCTTTCCTTAGTGCTGCTGCTCTGGCTGTTGCACAGCCTGTAGCATTTTGCTGAATATAGGTTGGCTTAGAGGCCATATTGTGTTTCTGGAGTCAGATGTTGGCTTTTAAAATTGAAACTTTTGCCAATGTTCCCTTTGAGATCTGGGACAGAACTGAAGTTAAATTATTAATATTTCTACAGCAAGAAGTGAATCTTTGTTAAGACTTTAACATGTCCACTTAAATAGTCTGTGTTGGTGTATGCCTTCATTCCCAGAAATTGGGAGGAAGAGGCAAGTTGATATCTGCATTTGAGCCTGCCTGGTATCCATAGAGAGTCAGGACTATGTAGAGAGAGCTTGTCTCAAAAAACAAGCAAACAACAAAACAAAGAGACCTAGCATATGTTCAAGTCATACTGTGTTCAGGTTGAACTTACTCCAACTTTAGGGAAAGCTTTGGGCATTTGGAATTGTGAGTTGAGGGCATGGAATCTTGGGGCATGAGAGTGCTTTCTTCTTCTCAGAGCTGAAGATAGAGGGCCAGGCAGGTCTCTCTCCCCCATTCCTCTAGTTCACTGAAGCCTGTTTAGAACTTGGGTTCACGTTACCTTAGTGGGATGAGGCTATGTGGGTCTCCAGTCACAGTCTCTTGATTTTTGCAGATCTCTGGCCCCCGCTTAGGTGACAGGTTCCCACATGTGATTGAAGGAGCACCCTCACTTTTCGCAGAGGCATAGTGGCTTTAGCAGTCCTAAGCAAGTCGAGGAGATGGCTCCATAGGAAGCAAGAGGTTTTCAGTGCCACGTCTGGCCACTTGTGACTATGGAGTCAGCAGAAAGTAGCATTACTTCCCAGCTCTGAGTTCTGGCAGAGAAAGTGTGGGGCTTGCTGGGAATCCCAGGTATTTGAAAACTAATGCTTTGAGCTGTCCTAGTGCCTGGAGGCTCAGTAGCAGCAGGTTGGCTAGGTCTGCTCTGGTCCCCTCTTGATGTTATGGTTATGGGCACAGTTAAAGGGTACAGAGTGAGGCTTTCAGCCAAGGTTACTTGGCCTTGGCTACTGCTGGGAATTATGCATCATGCAGTGTAGGCCATGAGGGGGTGCTCAGGAGTGACCTGTCCTTCTGGGCTTCTGGCTCAACAGCTGAGATGCTGGCTTGTAGTCTGGATGAACATGAGAGGAAGAGGCAGCAGGGTTGGGGTGTGCTGCTACTCTAGAAGCTCCCCCAAATACACTAGTAGCCCACAGCTGGGACACTCCTACAGATGAGATTCAGGGCAATATGGAGAGCCCGCCCCAACCGGTAACACCCTGGCATTGTCCTATCTTGCCCCAGCCACCTTCCGGGCTCTGCGCCTACTTTGGCAGCAGCTCCTGTCTCTTAGGTATTGAGCTCTTGGTGACCCAATCGGAAAGCAAGATTTGTTTCCTGTGACCCAGTGCTCTTTTGTGGGACATTTTCTTTCTTCTCTTTCCCCTTCCTACATGAGACCTTTTACGACAAGGTCTCATGTAGCCCAGGTTGGCCTATGTAACTAAGGATAACTTCCTATGTAACTAAGGATAACCTTGGACTTCTGATCCTCCTGCCTTTACCTCCTTTACAGTGCACACCACCATGCCCAAATTTCATGGTATATTTTCTAATTGGAATATGCAGACCAGGTTTTCTTAGAATTTCACCTGAAGTTGTAAAAGTGCTGGAGAAATGGAAGGATGAAGCCTCATGGCCTTCTGCCAGCCACTCTGGACATTTGTGGCCCCAAGGCCCTGCGCCATGTGCCTGGTGACAGCTGCTGTCTGAGGACAGGAGAGCAGCCTCAGAAGTTTTCAGCTGTGTGGTGTTTTTTTTTTTTTTTTAACCAGTTTTACTACTGGTTAGAGAAGGCCCTGAAGCCACAGTTGGGTGGAGGAGTCCTGCCCTGTCTGTGGGTAGCCAAGGAAGTATAGGGACTCGGTGACCTTGTGGTAGTTAAGAAAGAAATACTTTTATAAGAGTCATGTGAGAAAACAGGCCTTGTTGGTACATGTCTGTAATCCCAGAACTTGGGAGGTGGAGGATGGAGGCTCAGAAGTTCAAGATCATCCTTAGTTATATAGGGAGTTTCAGAGACCCTATTTTAATTCCTCCAGCCACAAATCACACCAGAGGTAGTTTTGCTGACAGGAATGCAGGCATCCTGATTCATGCAGCTCATAGGTGCTAGAAACCCTGTACCAGGTGGATTGGAAAGCTCCCAGAACCGGGGAGTGAGGTTCTCCCTCAGTCCTACCCATCCAGAGCCTTCGTACCTGCAGAGCTTGCCAGGGCTCCGGTACTGTGCATAGGGCTGGGGTTTATTGTCCATTATTGGTTTGTTTTTGGAGATGTCTCCTGAGTGGGTGGGGGAGGCTGGCATGGAGTTGAAAACGAGATTCCCCAATGGTACAGGTTTGTCATGGCCCTAGGAAGTCCCTGAGGTGGGACCCTGTGCACTACACCTGGCTGAGGGCCTCAATTTTAGCTTTCACCTGTTTGCGTTTTTGTTTAAGGTGTCACTTTCCTGCTTTCTGCATGAGGTGGGAAAAGAGGAACAGTGTGGTCTAAAGGACAGTTTGCAGACCATGGGGATAAGAGCATGCTGGGAGGGACTCCTCAGGCAAGCCCGCTCCCCCAGAAGTACAAAAGAAAGCCTACCCAGTGGGAGCAGAGCAGGCAGAGGGTTAGCCAGGCAGCTTGCTGTCCCTGTCTTCAGGGTCTACCCCTGTGATATGCCTGCTGAGCAGTCTCAGCTGTCACCTGGAGAGTGTCTTCAGCCCCTCTTCATCTTATCTTCGCCTTGGCTCATTTTTTTCTGTCCCAGCAGTGCACTCCCCATGGGCTTGTGCCTGGAGCACTGGATGGAGGTCCCTGTTGGGAGCCAGAAGCCTGGGAGTAGCTTGTGGGAGTCTGTTTGGTAGAAGTGAGGCTTGCTGTCCGGCACTTCCCAGAGGAGCCTTTGGAGCCTGGCTTTCACCTTTGGGATTTTTGGATAGATCCTTGAGCTACCTGTGATGACACAGACCTGGAACCCTAATAGGCTGAGGCAGTAGAAGCCAGAGTTTCAGGCTAGTCCGGGTTACATGTAGAAAAGAGATGACATTAGGTCCCTAGACCTGTATTCATGCCTGATACAGGCTGTGTGTTGCGACTCTTATCTTTGTGTTCCACGTTAGGCAATGTTGGAAGTAGACTCAATAGGAAACTTTGAAGATCTCTCAGGTGACTTTCTGCACAGTGTATGAACATGGCTGAGTTTTTACTTAACTTCACACCAACCAAATGATCACTTCTAAAACCCTTAGGAGACAGAAAAGAAACCTAAAGCTTTTCAGCATTGGAGAAGCAAGCTGGGTCTGGGGACAGAGCACTTGGTCTGCTACTCGGGAGGTTTCCATCTTCAGCACAGCAAACACTAAGGGGTCGATTTCATTTCTGGGGTGTCTTGTTTTCCAGAGATGTGGGATTTTTTATAGGCTCACTTGTGTCACTTTCTATTGTGTATTTTCTATTGTGTATGAAGGCAGAAGTCAGGACAACTCTATAGAGTTGGTTTTCTTCAACCTCTGTGTGGACTCCATGTCTTGCGGGCTTAAAACTTGAAAACCTGATGGTTGATGTTATCAGGTTTTTGTGGCAAGTGCCTTTACTGCTGAGCCATTTCACACAGCTCAACACCCCCACCCCACTTTTTTTTTTTTTTTTTTTTTTTTTGGTGTTTGGAGACAGAGTTTCTCTGTGTAGGTTTGGCTGTCCTGGACTCACTTTGTAGACAGACTGTCTTGAACTCACAGAGATCCATCTGCCTCTACCTCCTTGAGTGCTGGGATTATATGGTTGTGCCACCATGCCCAACAGTTTTTCCCCTTTTATAGGAGTGTTCTGACAGTGGAAGGCTCTTGACTCTATTCAGGTTAGGCGATACCTTTCAGCTGTGTTCTCTGAATTTGCCCAGGGTACCCTAAGTAGCAGTGGCAGTTTATACTGGCTCCAGCCAGTTGCTCTTAGCTAGGTGAGGAAGGCTGCCTGTTCTAGGCACATTCCCCCTGCATGTCAGGCCTGTGCTCTGTGTAGGTTGTTTAGGTGGTGGTTGTCCCCTCATAAAACTGGATGGTGACATCCCATGGGCTCAGGCTGGGGCCTCCTAACTTGGTTGCCTCTCTCTCTCTGCAGGGTTGGTGTTCTGGAATACTGCTTCACCTGCCTGGGCATCTTCTTGGCCATCGTCCTGTTTCCTTTTGGGTTCATCTGCTGCTTTGCATTGAGGAAGCGAAGATGCCCCAACTGTGGAGCAGTCTTTACTTAAAGGGAACAACACACCCAGTTTTCCTACATTCAGCTATCTTTTCTAATGTAAATGTTGTGTACAATAGTTTTATTTGATTAAGCTTCAGGACTGTTTTGTAAAGTGCAGTGGGATAGACTTGGCATAGGGCTGACGCAGAGGTGGAAGGCAGCGACCTGCCCTGAGGCTAAGGGTAACTCAAGAAAGCGCTGCTTCTATTTTTTGCAGTCTTCAATTTGAGAATGGTGAGAAATACTGTTTTAAATAAATGAGATTCATACCATTGTGTAGCTTTTCTGTCTGCCCAGTATTTACCCAGTGCCCCTTGGTAAAGGCTTGTCTTGGGAAATGGCACATATGCAGGGGCCACCCATGGCCATCATCCAGTCCTCAGGTATCACTTATGGCTCAGAACATATGTTTCAAATTCTCGTTTATTATTCACATTAAACAAATGTTAACCTTGGCATTTGCAGAGCCTGGGGCATGGATCAAGGTAAGCGACCTGTGAGGGAAATCCTGGTCTGGAAGAGCACACCACAGCAGACTGGTTTCTGTACTTGTGCGACAGAGCCAGGATGTGAGCTCTCAGCGCCACTCCTTTACATATCTGGAAGCCACGATTGGTTCTCTGTTGGTGAAAACACAAAGCTTCCCACCCTAACCTGCAGTTAATATGATCACAGGGAGAACAGGGACTGAAGTATGGCTCTTTCCCCCATCAGGCTAGGACAACCTAACACAGTGATAAAACAGCCTCACATGGCATGACCCAGACTGTTATCTAGGGAGGGTGTTGGCATGGTCAGACCTGTACTAGTTGCCCTTCATGGGGCCATCAGGTTTGTCCTCCCATGAGAGCTTGGCACTGCTTGGTCCAGCTGGAAAGACTGCAGTTTCATGTACACAGACCCTGACCAATTTCCAACTTGGGGAAAAATGAGATCCAAGAAACCTTGATATACAACAAGCTTCTTTCAACAGTGACTGTCCTGAGGGTGGATTTTAATTATTTGCTATTCCAAAGTAGGTCTTCTTCTTGGGTAGGTAAGGACAGACTGATCCCTGGCTCAAGGCTCTGTGCACTGGCCTGAACAGATGCTGGTCTCAACCAGAAGTCTGACTGTGGGACACCGTTAGGCTGAGGAGCCTTGCCCCTGCTGACCATCAGGCTTCAGAGTTGCCATTACAGACTAGTACCTGGTTTAAAAAATGGAACTTGAATTTCAGGAGGTGTCCCCAGAGTAATGATGGAGCTTTGGCCACCTAGCTTGTACAGAGCCCTCAGATGTGCTGAGGAGACCCCTGCTGGCAACCTTTGTAACACTGAATTCTGTGGCTCCTGGAGATAATTTTACAAGTGCCAATAAAGTAGGCAAGCTGTCTCTGTACTCTGCAGCAATGCCTGTCAAGTGAGGTTGGAGTTCTCCATCTTCGAGCACTCTGTATTTGTGTAATCCAAAGGTTAAAACTGGGTCAAAAGTATATTTAATATAGTTTCATAATTTATATTGCTTACTGGATTTGCATGCTCTGATGCAAACTTACATAATATTTTCTTTAGATTAACATCATAATGCTACATAAGAGCACAGGCTTTATAAAATAAAACTCTGGTCTTAATTTGCATTCAGCTACAGAAAGCCAGGCACAAAAGCATAGACTGACTATCCCTTATTCTGGCTATTTCCTTAAAAATAAAAATTAAAAAGGACTTGAACCAAATTTACTGCTTTTTTAATAGAAAAGGAAGAAAACATTTCAATTGATTGATCTATTCACTACGCTACTCATTTACCTTAAAGACAAAATGTAAACCCAGCTCTGTTAAACTGAGAAAACACAGTGATTTGCTCAAGTGGGATTCACTGAAATCAGGCACCTCTGAGGCTTTGACAGTGCCTGCACCTGTCCAGCAACATGTACCTATCGTCTTGCAGGTGAGAACTTGGGTAAAGGGACTGGCAGGGTCCTTTGCATCTTCATCGAATGATTGGTGCTGATCGGTCGTTTGTCACTGTTGGCCGGAGTTTCACAGTGGCAAAGGGGTTTTCTCCACTACAGGGAAGGAAAAGAGGAAGAAAAAACAGAAATATTGCACTAGGACAGGAATTAGATGTGCATTAATACGGGTGTGTGCATGCCATGTGCCATTGTTGGGTGCTCTCTCTCATACTCCACCTTCTATTTTGAGATTGGAATTCACTGTTTCTAGGACCATCGAGTGCCCAGAATCTGACAGTCTTCCGCTGTCATGCCCTGCTTCTATGTGGGTGTTGGGGTTTTGGACACAGGTCCAAACTTTTTATGCTTGCGCAGCAAGGACTTTATTCATTGAGCCATCTTCCCACTGCATATGAGTCCTGGGCTGCCTGTTTTGAACACAGGTATCTGGCCGTTGTATACCAAGTGAGGGAACAAGTCACGAGTCTGACCGAAGGAGTCCTCTGGGACAGGCCACCCTGCCATGGGTTAAATCTGGACCAGGCTGCTCTGTCTCTCTACGCCTAAACTGCCTAAAGCCTATGGTTACAAGAAAAGTGACTTCAGCTTCCCCTATCTCTGTGAAGGGCCTGTGGGGGCATTACTGGCCGCTCCCTTGGCAGAAAAGGCAACATTCCACTGACCTTGTGCACTGGGTATACATACCTGAGGAATGGCGGCTTTGCGGTCCCATTTGCATCGCTCTAGGAAAGACAGAAAGACACGGAAGGCTTGAAAGTGGGACATTTTGATAATGCCCATAGGTAAAGACAGGCAAAGTTAAGTTTAAAGCCACCATGGGGCTGGAGATAGGGTTCAGTGAACGATGCTGTTCCAGTAGAAGACCTGAGGTTAGTTCCCAGCGCCCACATACAGGCTCGCAAGCACCCCTAACTCCAGCTCCAGGGCACCTGAGCCCTGGAATCTGTACTCATGTGCTCAAATACACATGCAGACACAAAAACAAAAATAAATCTTTAAAGCTATTCATGTTTAAAAGCATCCCGTGGTCGCTCATTGAGACTGCCTAGTATGCAAATGATTCCAAAAGAATAAGCCAAGAACCTTGAGGGTCCTTGAAGTGTGTCAGGAGGCAGAGTAAAGAGGTGCCTTGAAGTGTGGCAGCAGTGCACACACACAGGTCAGCATGGAACATCATGAATGCTCACAGAAACTCAGATCTTGCCAAGTTAAACTGAACAACAGAGCCATAAGCATGGAAGCACTTTCAGAAACGTCTCAGACTCAAGGGCCTCAAAAATGATATCAAAGTAATAGTAACTTGGTTTGGGAGACTGATGCTAACTGTTAGAGTCAGCCATTTGGGGGGGCGTGGCTTGGTAGAACACTTAACCTAGCTTGTGAGAGGTCTGGGTTCAATCCTGGGAAAGGGGAGGGGATCAACAAGAGGGGAAGCTTTTACTGAGGTTCTGTTCAAGTACTGCGGGTGTGTGGCAGAGCTCTGAGCCTCCCAGCAGGACAAGGGTACCGCCTCCCTCCAACACACCTCTAGGCTGTTGGCTGGGGTACTGGTGTGTCTGGACCACCTTTCTGGAATTCTAAAAGTTTTACCATCTCAAAATCTTTCCAGCTATTCCTGAGATCACTGCCTGAGCACATGGCACTGACCTCAGCACCACCCAGCAGAGGGCAGTAGAATATCATGTAATGCACCAGAGCCAAGCTAAGCCAAGCAGTCAAGTCCCTAGAGAGCTTCCTAGGCTTCACAATTGTAGATTAAAAGCAAGTGCCTCTCTAGCTAGTGTGGGTTCTGAGGCTGAAGCCTGGCCCAGGACCCCCACAGGGCAGCAGCTCCTGCACACTGAACTCAGCTGATAAGATAGGCTGTCTCACCCAGAGGCAGGCTGGAGGCACCTGGGCAGTGACCCCAGGCTTGGCTTCCCCCCAGGTCAGCACAGTCATCTAGCACGGTGCATACTCATCACAAGCACAAAACGACTGCCTGGCTTGGCACATCTTAATCAGGCTTGAAGTGGCGCAAGTGATTTCTTCCTGCAGGGCACTCAGTTTCTTTAGCAGGCCTGTGGACAAGTCATCTCTGATGTAACTTTGTATGACAGGGATGATTAAGAGCTATTTGTGATTTCTTTTTTAAAGAACATCAGGAGGTCTGACCTGTCGATTGCCTGTCAAATTGCTAGCATGATTAGACTGCCAAGAGAAGCAAGCCAGGCAACAGCCTCAGTCTGGAAGGAGCCTCTTGGTGCCCAGAAGGCAGACCGGAAGAGCAACCTCAAAGCTCCAGGCCACCTCATTTACCACAAACCTCTTCCCATTGGAAACCACTCCCTTCTGCTTTCCCCTGTGTAGCAAACACTGACCTATCCTGTGTGGCCTTGAGGCAGACAGCACCATATCCTCAACTGGAAATGAGAAAGTTCTCTACCTGGCAACACCTGCTGCCAACCCTCCTGAAACCACAAGTTCACTTTAAGACACCTCAGCATTCAACACACTAAGAGAATCAAACACAGCAAATCCTTGAAAGTAAAGTGCCCCTATGTGGCCACAGACACCAACACACTCTAGACAGGCCTCTTACAGCCCCAGGCAGAAACACCCAGAAGTCCAACAAGAGATCCATTCTGTCCCCATGAGACCTCAGTTGCCAGGACATGGGGATTCTAGCCTTAGAGAACTCTGAGTCAGTAACTGTGTGGGGGTTGCACAGGGGTTTTGAGCATCTAAAGATGTTGTTTCTTGATCTGTTGCAGATTCTACAATCACTTCACAAAAATTCACTTTTAAGGCCAGGTCTGGTATCTATCACCCATATGCCCACTTGGGAAGCTACAACGGGAGAAGAGTTTGAGGCCAGCCGGGGCCACATAGTGAGACCCTGTTTCAAAGCCCCTAGTGGACCTGGAACACCTAGTAAAGATGGCCATTTCAGAGTGATGACAGACACCTGAAATCTCGGCGCTTGGGACATAAAGACAGGAGGATTTTATGTTAAAAGCCACTCTCGTCTATATAGCAAGACACCTTAAACTCAACAGAACAGCCATTTTCCTGGATGTGGTGATAATATCTGTAGTATAGAATCTGGGAAATTGGAGACAGGACAGACTTGAGTTCAAGCCTAGCCTTAACCCTAAATTCGCGCGCGTGCATGCGCGCGCGCACACACACACACACACACACACACACACACCAACAACAAACAAAAAGAGATGGCTCAGTAGTTAAGAACCATTGTTGCTCTTGCAGAGGTCCTAATTTTAATTCCCAGGATCCACATGCCATCTGTAACTCCTTCTCCAGAGGATCTAATACCATCTTCTGATTCCCTCCAGGCACCAGGCATGCATGTAGTATACATATACACATGCAGACAAGTACTCATTAAAAAATGTAAAATTAAAAAAAAAAACCTAATAAAAGGGATGATTTAAATCATCAACAACAAAACCCCACAGAGTCCCAAACCAAAAACAGCCATCACACTTGCTCCTTAGTTGACCTCTGTGAAGCAGCACTAACTCTGTTGCTGATGGCTCTGTGCGCCAGGACTCCTGATTGGAGCTAGTAGCAATTACCTGTGGTGGCCTGTCCACAGAAGACTGGCACCTCTCCCTGTCGTTTGCATAGGATCTTTAAATATTCAAGAGACGCCTGTTCTTTTGAGCGGGTAAAAACAATACAAATCCATCATCCAACCTCACCTTGTAACCATGAAGCCTTTGCATTTGTGTAGGGTCACTTCTCCTCTGTTTTATGATAAGGCAAAGTAAACATCCTTAGTAGTACTGGAGTGGGAGTCCCGTAAGCCTGGGTAGGACCCTCAAGTACCTCTCTCTGCCTTTGGATTTTGAAAGCCAACTGCTTGTTTGTTTGTCTGAGACTGGGTCTCTCCTTGGCCTGACCTTGAATTCTGGATCCACCTGCCTCTGCCTCCTGAGTACTGGGGTTACAGGCGTGCACCACCACGGTTTATGTGGTGAAGCTATAGCCTTATTCATGCTAAGCAAGCACTCTAACAACTGAGCTACATTCCCATTATTTCTAGTGACTTGACTTTTAACTAGCGGATATTTTCCATTATTCTCTGGATCAGAAGGGCAATCCAGCATCTTATCAGGTCCTTGGTAAATAGCAGAGAAGGCAGTGGAATGTGCTTTTATTAGTCAGGGCTCCCAGCTCCCTTCTCCTCCTTGTGCTGATAAGCACTGCTACAGACTTCATTTTGATATCTCTCAATCCGCTGCAGGACCTTAGGAAGTGGCTGTCATTCTTCTGTGCTCTCCCTTTTTCTCTGCTTCCCAAGGTCCTGTAACACATTCCACCCTAAAAGTACCCAGCTAGGCCAGTTCACAGCAGAGCCCAGGCAGGGTCCTGGAGCAGTGGCTTAGCTGGTTTGGCAGGAGAAAATGCTATGATTCTACTGTGTGTGGCTGTCAGGTTGGGACTAGAGGTGAAAATATCTTCCTCTGTCTGTCTGTCTGTCCATCCATCCACCTGTCCATCCATCTATCTACCCACTCATCCATCCATACATCTATCCACTATATTTAGCTAAATCTGTATCAAAAGAAATATAATTCAATGTTAATTATATCCTAGAAATAAATACTACTGAATTTTTTTTTTTTAACATTTTTCTAGCTTTCAGAAAACAGAACCAAACCAAATCCAAACCACATCAATGCTTTTATTTTGAATGGTGCTGGGGGTCAAATCCAGGGTTTCCCACATTCTAGTCAATTGCTCTACCACTGAGCTATATTTCTATCCCCCTAATTATTATTATTATTATTATTTATTATTTTATTATTAGTGGTACTGGAGATGGAACCCAGGATCTTGTGCATGCTATCCACGTACCCACCACAAAGCTATACCCCTAGCCAAAAGTGTACTTTAGATAAGGATGTAGTTATTAGGTACTTTAGATTTTACAAAGGGACCGGGACAAAATTTAGACTCTGTTCTTTAACAAAAACCTGTAGCCATACATAGCTGCGTGTGGACTTCCGTGTGAGCCCAATCCTAAACAAGGTGTTTATACTATGCCCTCTAAGGCCCAGGAACATTGCAGAAGAGGGAGCAGACCATTTTTTCCCTCTCGGAGGAGTGGTGTTTCTGAGACAGTCTCATTGTCTAGTCCAGTCTTGCTTGAAATTTACAGGTATCCCGCCCCCACCTCCTGAATGCATGTGCTACCACACTGACTGAGTCTCCCGATATTGACAGTAGCTTATGATTTAGCCAAGTAAGATGTTTAAAAATAAAGCTAAGTCTTATTTAAACTATAAAATGATAAATGAGGAATAAAATTATTATTGATTATATTTATATACATAAAATAATTTTTCTAAAACTGCAAGGCTGTAGCTGAGTGGTAGAGTGCATGTCTAGCCAACAAAGCTTTGGGGTTAACCCTCAGCAAAATAACAAGCAATCAAACCGACTGGAACTGTTCCATGGACCAAGTAAGTGCTGGAGGGTTTGTTGTTGTTACTGCAGATGGAGCTCAGAGTCTCATGAGTGCTATGTACAAGCACTTGACCACTGAGCTCACCCAACCTCTCCTTTCATTTGGAGAAAAGAGAAGCTAAGTTGTCTAGGCTGGGCTTGAACTTCCAGTCTCTTGTTGTAGTTGGCATATGCCATTGGACCTGTCTCAGACAGGATTCTTTAACCCTAAAACACATTAGACAACCAGGTGGCCACCAATTACTGCTGCTATCACAAAAAGAAATTGTGATGACTCCCAATGACAAGTGATCAGTGCAGCAGAGAGAAACTGACTGGCCTGGAGCTCCAGAAACACAGTACAGCAAGGGGACACCATAAAAAGCACTATAGGGGTGTGATCAGCATAACCTAGTCTGGGGACACCTTCCAGGACGAACAACCTGGTTGTTCTAAACAACAATAATAGCAAGGAAAGAGACAGAAGGGAAAGACTCACCAGAGTCAATGGGATACCTCTTGACTACTTATGAAGTATAAAGCTGATTTGGATCCAGATTCAAATGGCTGTACTGTAAGTGATCTCTCTCTCTCTCTCTCTCTCTCTCTCTCTCTCTCTCACACCCCATAGACAAGGACTAGGGTGACAGACAGTGACTTGATAGAAAAAGATGAAGTGGGGCTGGAGAGATGGCTCAGCAGTTAAGAGCACAGGTTGCTCTTCCAGAGGGTGCCACTTGATCCCCAGCGTCTACATGATTACAACTATCTCTAACTCCATCTCCAGGGATCCAGTGCCCTCTTCTAGCCTCTGAAGGCACTGTGCATACATGTGGTACACAGACACATACGGAAATACCCACACGCATGAAAGAAAGGTGACGGGAGGAGGTTTACAGCACTGTGCTACCTAGGTACATAGTAGTTTATTATGCTTAAGTGTGCATGTTGTATATACATTTGCGTTTATCTTTAACTATATATTGAGACCCTGTCTCAAAAACACACACACACACACACACACACACACACACACACACACACACACTTTAAAAAGCATGGGAAGGTCAAGGTTTGTCTGGTCTCAGCAGACACTGAACACCAAGAATGCCAATGGTAATGGTAGAGAGAAACCATAGTCACATATACTGCTCCATGATGCCCACTGTCCTTTAGAACAGAAGGGGTGACTCTTAGATGCAGGAATGAACCTCAACAAGCTTGGGCTGAAGGTCTTGCCTCTCCCTACAACTTATACTCAATGAGGCCCGGCTCTCTTCAGTCAGCCTAAAGGCCACCCCAGCATGCTGCTCTCCATGGGGTCCTAGAGGCCTCGACCCAGCTCCTCACTTTTTTCTCCCCCTTTCTCAGGGTTCCATCTTGGGGTGCTGAACTTTAAAAAGATCTAACCTTTCACAACCACTCAGGATGTCACCCTATTCATTTGTACCTCCTTTATTTTCATTCTTAGCATGGCTTTTATCCTGTTTTTTGTTATTATGTGCTTCTAATCACTAGGATTTAAGTTCCAAAGAAGCTGGGGGCTTGCTTGTTTGTGCTAGGTGCTCTGTAGATAATCCACCTACAGCTGCTGAGGGCAAGGAGGTGGCTAAGAGCCTGAGCCCTCTGCTTTCCTTCATAGGGTAGTTTAAGATTAAAGACAATCCTTGCACATTTGCTGGCTCAAAGTCCCCATTTTCAGAAAAGGAACAAAATGCAGAGGAAGGGGATTAAAAGACTAAGACAAAAAGCAAGGAGATATGCAATAAGACCCAGCAAACTAATGGTGTCAATTGTCCTACACAAGATAAGGTATAAAGGCAAGGGGGCATGGTGTTGGAGCACAGGGAAGAGTATGTATCTATGAAGAAGAGAATCCCCTCTTGAGCAGAGCCCGCCCCTCCAGTTGGGGCCTCTAGTCAGCACTCACAGGAGATGTGGATGTGGCATCCGATCTGGGCGCTACGGCTTTGAAGGTAGACGTGGAAGTCGTCTTGGGAGCATCTGTTCTCTTGTCTGCAGTGGCCCCCATGGACAGGCACTCCAGGTAGTCAGGAGGTGGGATGACAACGCTGCTCTTCTCAGTCAGGTCCACAGTACTGATGCTTCTCACTGGTGCAGGGCTCAAAGCCAAAAGTCAGGGAGCCAAGTCAGATAGGGTCATGTCACTTGGACCCCTACACCCTAAACACCCCATAGACAAGGACTAGGGTGACAGACAGTGACTTGATAGAAAAAGATGAAGTGGGGCTGGAGAGATGGCTCAGCAGTTAAGAGCACAGGTTGCTCTTCCAGAGGGTGCCACTTGATCCCCAGCATCTACATGATTACAACTATCTCTAACTCCATCTCCAGGGATCCAGTGCCCTCTTCTAGCCTCTGAAGGCACTGTGCATACATGTGGTACACAGACACACACGGAAATACCCACACGCATGAAAGAAAGGTGACGGGAGGAGGTTTACAGCACTGTGCTACCTAGGTACATAGTAGTTTATTATGCTTAAGTGTGCATGTTGTATATACATTTGCGTTTATCTTTAACTATATATTGAGACCCTGTCTCAAAAAACAACTCTTAACCATTCCCCAAACAGTTTTTCCTTCTTGGTACACCAGCATTTTTAGACCCTGCTAGAAAGGCATATAGAGATACTTGCTGAGGAGAGGGCCTGAAGGATGCTGAGCATGGACTTTGAGGGTCCAGAGGTCAGAGAGTAGCATGCATGAGAGAGTTTATGGTAAAGATGACCAGTTCAGTGTGGACATGTTATTCCTGAGGGTCAATTGGGCAGCCAGCTTGACTAAGACTATAAAATTACCCATACTTTAGCCCGGGCAGGTTGTGACTGGGTTCCAGTCTTGGTTCTGTAGTCTTAGCTGTATGTTCTTGAGCAAGCGGCTCTGGCTGTCTTGGAACTTACTGTGTAGACTAGGCTGGCCTTAACCTTGAAGAGATCTGGCTACCTCTACCTCCTGAGTGCTGGAATTAAAAGGCATGTACCCCTACACCTGGTGAGCAAGTTCTTAAAACTTTTCTGTGCCTCAGTTTCCTCAAAGTAGAACCCTATCTCATAGGGTTGCAATTTAAAGCACTTGTAACTGTCTCTAAGATATGTGTGTGTGTGTATTTTTTTTTTTTTTAAGGATTTTAAATGTATAGAAGTTGTGAGCCAACTGACTGAGAACTGAACTTGGGCCCTCTACAAGAGCAGAATGCATTCCTAAACTCTCAGCCATCTTTCCAGCGCCAAGACAGCTATTTTTATTGTCACAACCTAGACTAGACTAAAGAATTGGGGATTATCAGCATGTAGGTGACAAAGGAGGTCCACTGATATAATTGCAAGTATAAAGGTAAATGAATATAGCTGGTGAGTTGCACAGTGGGAAAGGGCTCCTGTTGCCAAGCCTGACAGCCTGAGTCTGAGCCCTGGGACCCACATGATGGAAGGGAAGAACTGATTCCTGCAGGTTGTCTTCTGACTTCTTCTTACATATGTGTTGTGGCACCTGCTTCCTCCCCCACCAAAATGAATAAAATGTGAAAAAAATAAAAAGATGAAGTAGCCCAAGGGACACAGATAATAGAAGGCTGAGGATGGAGCCTGAGAAGTGTGAATGTTTATGTGGTAAAGAAAAAAAAGGACCTGTAGAGGACACTAACCAGAGGACACAGGAAGGAAAGAGAAATCAGAGCACTCAAGGTGAGAGAACATTTCAGCAGCGTGCTGCATAACATAATTGCCTGCCAATAAAAGACAGAGAACGTGTGCTGTGGACTTAGTACTGCAACTGGTGGCAACAGGGAGGGGTGAGGAATTGGTGGGCTGGGCTGGGCTGGGCCTTGTCGTAGCAGATAGCCAGGGAAGCTCATGAACCACAAAACCACAGAGGAGCAGACACTGGCTCCTATCACAAGTGTTGAAGGTTAATCCCGGGGTGGCTGCATATCTAGGCTGTAACTCTAATGTGTCTGGGGACATTGGGGTCAAGGTAAAGTTTCAGTTGCTCGAGAGCTGGGCCATATGCCCTACCTTGGTATAGGGGCAGACATTGCTTCCTTCACATTTTCTTCCAGCAACTTTGTATATGATGATGGGAACCAGCCCCTTCTAAAAGTGAAGAGAAAGAAGAAAGCCATCTGTGATATGTGAGGGAGGACATAAGTAGTACTCACACTTGGGGATATCCTGATGACATTGTGGGTTGGCTAGCCACTCACAAAGGGGCTGAATGAAATGGAGGCTTTTCAGGTGTCTCCTACACACACACACACACACACACACACACACACACACACACACACACAGAGAGAGAGAGAGAGAGAGAGAGAGAGATTCCTGGAAACTGTCCTTCAACCTCCACATTGTACATACACACACACACACACACACACACACACACATACACTATAAAACATTTATACCTTTTGTCTCAGTGACATAATTTGATCTGATAATCTATTCTTGCACCAAGTTCACCTATATACATGCACAAAACAGCTTGTAATAACAGCAGCTACCAAACTATAAAGAAGTATAAAGGGCTCCTACATCCACAGACAATGTGCATTTTACAGGAAAGACAGCAGCTCTCTGAGGTGAAGTCCATTTGAACCTGATGCAGATAAGTCTGTGCCAACTCACGCTTTAGTAGTGTCATGCTCCCCATAGAGCCAGCCATCCTTCTCCTCAGGGATGAGCAGTGTGATGATATCCCCCTGGGCAAAGCTAAGTAAGGTCTTATTGGTGCCAGCAGTGTGAGGGAAGATGGTCTTCACTTTTTGCTTCTTCATCATGTTCAGTCCAGTTGCAACAGAAACTGATCTCTGTAAACTGGGATCTTCCGAAGTGTCTGTTGAAGTGAGCAAGGGAATGATGATGATGATTCAAAGAATGCTTGCCAGGCAAGTTCAAATGAGTGACCCCCGAAAACCATTTATTTCTGTATCTTGCCTACCCGATCCTTTTATGGAAGCTTAAGTTTTGGCCTATTTCTAGACCTTTCACATTGGCCATGAGGAGGAAAGTGGTATGGCTCTGCCTGCAGGTTTTCATAGAGGGCAGGGGAGCCCAGCAACCAAGAGCCTTATAAGAGAAGCCCAGCATGGAGTGCCAGAGTCACCTGTACCACGGCAGACAGGCTTGCTCTTTTCACAGGTGAAGTATCCGCGCTTTGCTGTTCTTTCATTTTGAAACACAGAGGCAGCTGAGGTGACAGCTTAGACCCACTGCCTTTCTCTTGAGTTACAAGGAAAAGGATTAAGCTGGAAATGTTGGTGCTCTGGCTTTACACCTGAGCGTGTACACGTGAGCTGCTGAGTTCCCTTTGTTAGGCACCTACTTGTCAGGAATCTCAGTGCTCTACAGCCACCAGCCAGCCCCCGGAGAAGGCTGTGACTGCTATACTGATGTACAGGGAATTGAGCCCAAAAAGAGTTCCAAGACTGGTCCAGATCACAACCGGCAAACGGCAGCAATAGCTACTGGGGACAGCTGGGACCACAGGCCCTACACTACCATGGTCTAAACACAAGCTGATATGTGCCATTCCAGGAAATGGGAAACTGGCATAGGGCTTTAAAATACCTGCTTTATTACTGCATCTTCATAACAATTACAGTACCAACTTTGCTATTCCTTAACATGTCTCTAATTACTTCAAGCACTAACTCTACCAGAAATTTTCACTTGGCTTTTACCAGAAAGAACCAGAGTTATTTGAATGAATTATATACTTTACCTTTCTTCAAAAGCAAATAACTACAGGCTATTATTTTCCCTATTATTATCTCAGTTGTCTTTGTTTGTTTGTTTGTTTGTTTTTTGACACAGGGTTTCTCTGGGTAGCCCTGGCTGTCCTGGACTCACTTTGTAGACCAGGCTAGCCTCGAACTCACAGCAACAACCCTGCCTCTGCCTCCCAAGTGCTGGGCTTAAAGGCGTGCACCACCATACGTGGCTATCTCAGTTGTCTTTATAGAAATCTCTTGTTGCAATCTCTCATCTGACCCTACAGCTGAATACTGTAATCTGTGGGTTCTCTCCAGAGCACAAAACATGAGATTTGTACTGAAGGAGCTGTCAGATATGGAACACTGTGTGAAGCTTGTTTATTTTTAAATATAGCCCCTCTCAGGCTGGAGGGATGGCTCAGTGGTTAAGAACAGGCACTGCGCTTGCAGAGGATCTGAAGTAGGTCACCAGCACCCACGGCAAGCAGTTCACCACTGCCTCTGACTCCAGCTCCAAGGGATCCTGTCCCTCTTCTGGCCCCACAAGCACTGTACTCACATACAAACACCCACACACAGGTACACAAAAAACTCTTTAAAATACTTCTCAAGAACATATTTACTCTGTAGACATCTGCCAGGAGCCAGATTAGTGTTAGAAACATGTCACTTATCAAATGTCTAATGTTTAGATCTTATTTAGTCCATCTCCCTCACCACTCCCCCAACCTACTCCCAAATACTGGGAGTAGAACCTAGGGCTTCACACAAGCTAGACAAGTGCTCTACCATGAAGCTACCCTCTCCGCTCCAGACTTATTTCTTGAAGTTTAAGTTATTCAAGGTCAGGGCTGTATGTATCCACTATACCTGTGTGTCTGCCTTTCCCTTATAACACATTTATCAAAAAAAAAAAAAAAAAAAAAATTAGTTGACAAGTTATTTTTTAAAATGTAAAAAAGGGAGCTGGAGAGATGGCTCAGGGGTTAGGAATACTTCCTGTTTTGGCAAAGGACCTGAATTTGGTTCTCGGCACCCATACTGAGTGGCTCACAATCACCTGTAGCTCCATCTCCGGGGATCTAATACCTTCTCATGGCCTCCACGAGCACTAGAACACAGGTAGCACATATTCATACCACACACAAATAAAAACAAACCTTTAAAAATTAAATAGAAAAAATAACTTAACAAGTTTTCATAAAAGAAATCAAACTAAATCTTTTACCTGTTGAGTTGTTTATTTTTTCTGAACTCTGTGCAGCTGTTGCTGGGTTATTGAACATATCAATCAAAGGACTGGTATAGGCTTTGACTGAAGGAGCTGGGGGCATCTTTGGTGAGTATTTAGAAAGGGTGTCATAATCTTTCCCAATCTGGAGAAACAAATCTTTATTAGTCTAATATTAGGAAAATACAGATTTCCAGGATTGCTTTTATCATATGGCAGAAACCCCACTAACTTAGTTGTGAATATTTCAGAAGTATTCCTGTATTTAGAGAAAGAGTCTCATTATATAGTCCTGGCTAACCTCGAACTCTTTGTGTAGACCACTCTGTACTCAAATTCAGAGAGAGCTGCCTCTGCTCTATGCTCTCTCCCGAGTGCTAGAATTACAATACTCTAGGTAGGCTCCCTCTTAAGTGCTACTTGATTACAGGACTACATTCAAAACAATTTTTTGAAAGAATTTTGCGTGTGTTATGTTAATTGTTTAGCACAAAAGCTTTGATGACAATCAATTTATGGCTAATCTTGTCCCACAAATGCCCTCACCCAGATTCCCAAACCAGGCTTGCATTATTTTGAAGCAATTCTCAGACATCTCATTTCTTTTCTTCTTCTTTTGGAAAAAGACCTTACTATGCAGTTTAGGCTGGCCTCAAACTTATGATCCTCCTGCTGCAGTATAGTATAAAACATCTGCACAGTCAATTCCAGTTCTGAAGGAAGAGGGAAAAGGTGAGGAAACAGGGTCCAGGAATAGGAAAGGAGGGGTCATGGTGTTTGTCACCAGTCAGGCTGGTCCTCTGAGTCAATCTGAACTAACTCATACTAGGAAACATTCAGAAGAGGACTGATTCCTACCATCTTGCTTCTCTCGATCATGGGTGATGGCTGTGGCGTCCCAGACACTGGGGTGGACATGGGCGTCTTTATCTCTTCTATCATGTTCATGATTTTCTCTGGTACTTTTGTGGCATCACAACAGGTTTCCTGCCACCTGGGCAGCTTGGAATTAAGTAATTCTGCAGACTATAAATCCAGAAGAAACAAAATTAAAGAAAGTTGCATTGTTTGAAAAGCTGATGAACGCCACCTCAAGCAACATCTCTATTGGTATATTAATAATTTGCCACCAGGCGTGGGGGCTCAGAGTCTAATTCAGCAAGCAGCTTAAGCAACTATGAATATCTGTGTCTTGACTGCTGAGGAGACAGGCTCAGGACCTAAGGGAACTTACCTGCTTCCTCAGCTGAACAGAACTTCTAGCTAACACGGGACTATAAATGATTAAGAATCCTGCTGGGGCTGGGAGTAGCTCAGAGGCAGAGTACATGCTTAGTATGCATGGGATGTGTGTGTGTTCATGTACATCTAAAAATCAAAACAAATCAGACTCTGTTCCAGGAAGTCTACCTGTGGGAAAGAGCCTATAGGTGGAGCGATGGGGTGGGAGGGAGCAGGTGGGGGTGTGTATTGCTAAGGGATGCCCATGTCACATCTCACAAGCTTGGCACAGTAGTTGAGTGGCAGCACAGGGAGGGACACATTGCCAGAGCTGAGACACTGCAACTCTGGTGGCTGAAGCTGAGGGGCCACTCCTGCTCCCATGAGCCTGGCTCTGCTCTTGCAGTGGGAGTCTCTGAGGCTCCATAAACTCCCTTTCCAGGGCAGCACTCTGGTTGGACAAGGGAGGAGGGCTAATTTGCATGGCAACAACACTAAGTTTTCTTTTTCACACTCACACACTGCTGACCCTGCGGAGCTGGGGAGTGGCATACTGTGGACTGCTTGCCAGCACTGACTAAAGGAAAGACTAGGATGCTCTATGAGCAATAAGGGGAACCACAAAGCAGCCTTCAGATAGCGAAGATGCTTCTGGTACAGAAAGAAGTAGGATTGGTTTATGCTGCTCTACTGAGTACTATTGGGACCCAAGGTTAAGTCTGTTAAGTCTAAGAAGGACCTTGTCAGTTACTAGAGCGTTCTGAAACTAGCCTAGGTTACCTCCTGACATAGTGGGGCAGTGCCCCAGGATGGAAGCTCAAGGTTGCTTCTATCCCTCTGAAGTTGTGGCCTTGTCACCCTGCCACGGCAGGAGGCCCTCAGCATGGAAGCACGCGTGTTTCTAGCATTGCTCTAATTTCTGTAAGTGCACTGTGGGCTCTGCACTAGGGCACGCTCAAAAGTGAGCGCTGGAGACAGCGATTCTTCTTCTTTTTAAAAGAACCATTTTAGATCTTACGTATTTGAATTGGGAAGCTACATATCCTTCAAGTTACAACACCTTTACAGAAGATGTGACACATGCACACAAAAGTGCAGGTTTTTTTCCCCTTGAGAGTTGACTTATGGTCTAGCTCTTGCAGAACCTCTCCTATTTTGGAACACTCTCTTAAGTCACACTTGCTTATGAACAATAGTGAATGTTTGATCTTAGTCATGCTAGCTTACATTGGGCCAAGAGAATTAAAAGAACAAAAAAAAAAAAAAAAAAAAAAAAAAAAAAAGGAGGAAGGGAAATTTAACACACCGTGTAATTGTTCCTGGGCTCTGGCCTCACAGCTGCAGCTGCTAAAAGGAGGGAACTAAGCCAGCCATTTGGTTGAGGGGATCATGAGTGAGCAGTGTAAACAAAAGCAAAAGGTAACAAAACTCAATGTCTAGATGGGTGTGAATGGGGAAAGGGTGCCTATGGCCTTGGCTAGAGCTGCCAGGAATCCTATATAGATGCATGATTATATAGACCAATCCAGAGACTGGTGCTAGTAAAGACAGTGACACCCAGGATACATAGGAGTCTATAAAAAGGCGACTTTTTAGACTGTCTTTTTATTCTGTTTTTGAAACATAGCTACACTGGCCTCAAACTCACTGTGTAGCTAGCTTAGGATGGCTTTGAACTTCCGATCCTCTGGCCTCACTTCCTAGGGATTTCTGGTGTGCACCACTATATCCAGTTTATGCAGTGTGCTAGGGATCAAACTCCGTGCATGCTGGGCAAGCACTCTATCAACTGAGTTGCGACTGCAGCCCCAAGTGTGTTATTGTTTCACAAGCGATTTCAAATATGGATAAACTATTAAATTAATGATAAGTAAATATTTGATCATTCAATCCGCCTGTATTTCTGTAAAGGTCCACTGCTCTGTACTGTCTAACCTGTAAGGAGAGGCCTCTCAAGGACTTTTACATACAAGATCAAGCCGCCACCATGCTTTGTGCCCTCTGCCGCCCACGCACCTGCAGGTGGTAGTAGTGTATGTGGCTGGTGAAGCTGCAGTGCTTGTCCACCAGAAAGCAGAAGCGCCTTTTCTCCTCAAGCAGGGCTTCTTTGCAGCCATCTGCAATGAACTTCTGGATTTCACTTTGGCGAGAAGTAACAGTCTCCACATACTACGAAAATAAACAATAGAAGCATGACAGGAGGCATCTGATTGCTGCATGGCATGACACTAATCCCTGCCATCTTTAGTTTAGTTTGGTTATGGAGTGAACACTAAATGCAGATAAACATCGGACAAAACACTTGTAACCCGGCCTGAGCAGACAGCATGATCCTTAGGCCACTGCCTCACATGAAGAGAAAGGTCCCCACTGCGCAGCTGTCATAAAACAATTCTGTACTCTAGCGATGACTCTCTTCTACTGCAAAATACTTTGGAACTGGAAAGTTTCAGGTTTGGTCACAATTAACAGGTGCCAATTACAGGACTTAAAGTAAGCCTCATTTTCCCAAGGGCCAAGGTGGTGTACACCTTTAATAGTTGCATTTGAGAGGCAGAAACAGGCAGATCTCTGTGAGTTCTAAGCCAGTCTGGTTTACATAGAGTTTCAGGTTAGCTAGGCCACACAGTAAGATCCCACCTCAAAGAAACAAACAGGAGGGAGTCATGCTAACCACAAAGGTCCCCTTCTTTACCCTGAGGTTAAGGGTACCATGTGCTATTACCTCAACTCTGGAAAACCCTGCATTACCAAGTCAAGTTACGCATGCTTTGTTTTTCTCTTCTTTCAGACAGGATCTCACGATGTAGCACAGGCTAGCCTCAAACTTAAGACCCTTACAATTCAGCCTTGAGGGAGCTGGGATTACTGGCATGTGTCACACACTCAGCTTGGAATGCTTATATTTTACCTCAGCACAGATGGGAGCGATATGGTACAGCTGACTGAGGTGAGCCTTCCCTTAAACTGTACATGCATAATTGACAAAGAAAAATATTGCTGAAAAGCTCACCTCAATTTCTTTGTGTTCATATTTGAGTGCATTTCGTCCTCCTTGACTTTTTCTTCTGATCTTCTTCAACTCGGCCTGAGACTTCTCCAAAGAATCTAATTTGTTCCTGTGTTCTGCTTGGTATCTTTTAAGAGTGGCCTGTAAGTCAAATGTTGTTTCACTGGGGCGCTGTACAGGCCTCCATGTAAGCCACTCTTGCTCACACTTCCACGGTGTGTGGCTGACTGGCCTTGATACCCTCACACTCACATGTCTCCATTCATGGGGCTTAAGAGTGCCAGTCCGTACTATTTTCACTCCTACACCCAAGATCCCTACCATTCAACTGGAACCCTTAGGAGTTGTTAGTTCTATTGTTTCTGTTTATTAGCAGCTCTCTAAAGATAAAATGCCTCTCCTTTTTAACTCCCTCTTTTCTCAAAGGCTTGTAGACACTGGGTAGTCAGTCAAGTGCTTTGGTGAACACACAGATGACACTCAGGGGCTAGGGATGTAGCTCAGCGGTGGAGTGCTTGCCTAGCCTACGCCAGGCCCCAGGGTTCCACCCTCAGCCTCACACACAGGTGCACACATTTCCCCTGGTGTGTGTGAGTGTGTCAACTTCTCTTAGGTCGAGAGCTCAGGGGTTAGCCAGGGTGGAAAAAAGTACACTCACATTCATATACTTTACATCAAGTTCTGTCTTCTTCTCCAGCTCATGGATAATTTCCTTATGGAATTTTTTGAACTGTTGACAAAATAAAAAAAAATTAAATTCATATTGTATTTAAGTTTTAGGCAATATTACAAAAAATATTTTTAAGAAATAACAATTGTCCACTTACATTTTCATCAAGAGTCTCATTGAGTTTCTTGTGGGTGCTGGAAATCTCTATGAGGACATGGCCTGTGAAGAAAACCAGACACTTAGGGGGAAGCCATTGGGTGGTTTTGCAAAGGCATAATTAGAAACATGATAGTGGAAGCAAGTGATACAAAGTTGCCCTCAAGGGCTTCAAATAGTAAACCCCAAGACCAGTGGAGAATGGGACCAGTCCCCAAGGTGCAGAGGGACTTCTGTGAACTAACTTCCTCCTGGGTTAAGAACACCTGCTCTGTTCTTGGATTCACTCTCGTCTTTCCATTTTACACATTCCTGCAGCCAAATCCTATCTATCTGATTTAACTTTTCAAAACAGACTTTGGTTTTGTTTATGTGTCTGTATGACTGTGTGCCACGTGGGTGTGCCTGTGAAGGCCAGAAGAGGGTGTCATATCTGGAGTTGCAGGTGGTCATGAGACACCTGATGACTATGCTAAGACAAACTCATGTTCTCCACAAGGACAGCGCTGGTATTCACTCTTGCCCCCTAAGCCATTTCTTCAGCACTGTGATTTAACTTAGAAATTATTTTACAAAAGATTATGTCAGTCATCACAGTAACTAATTATAGAAACAGAGGATTTATTTTTATCTAATCCCCAGAGTAATCTGGTTATCTGCTAATCACAGAGAAAAATCATCTTCTTTTTCTCATTTTAGTTCATGTATTTGTTGTGGAAAACAGCAGCACCCAGGGAAACTCAGCAGGGACAGTGTTCTGCCTTGGGTCTCCTGGGATGATGCAGTCTCTGAAACAGAGACTGTTCCAGGGCAAAGGCACCTCCTCCAGAGACCACCTGGTTTGCAGTGGTCTTACAGTTGGGGCACATGCTAAAGCCATTCCTCTGATAAAGGTGGACAAGAACCTCTCTGCCAACCTACCCAGCTCGGAAACCACACAGCTCTCATGAATACAAGTAGGAAAATAGAAACTCATTTGGAATGACTGCCATTGCCATATGAAACCACCACAAAATGTACTGGTGGATTGCTTTATAGGTCAGGAGCTAGATCGCAAGGAATTTTAACGGCAAGCTGAACAGCTGTGGGTGAGAAAGGATGACACAATAAGCCCCTGGTGGAATAAGGGGAAAGAGAAAATGAGCAGAGAGCCCATGGCTTCAGCTGTCACTAGTGTGCAAGTGACTCAACCACACATTCCAAAGCATTTGCACACAACTGCTTCTCAGACTTGCCAGGCCAGCCCTGTGCCTCCCTCATCTTCCATCTCAGAAATCCAGTCTGCTCCCAGACTTGGGTGTTCCGTGTGTAAGGGTGAGCTCACGGGCACTGTGCCTCCGAATCCCAGCTAACCCCAGCCAGCCAGTCCTGGTGGGAGACCTCTCAGCTATGTGTCATGCTCACGATGAAAAGTCATTCACTGTGCACTGGTGCCATCACGTGGACTGTCTCCAGGGAAGAACATGAACCTTACTCACCCTACTTTCTTGGGCCACACCTGTGCTTGTCCTACCCTGAGGAGAAGACTCACTGGACAAAGTGTGAAGCCATAGACACATGCTCCCCAAGTCCATGAATCACAAGTGGGAAGACTCTCCTTGGTCCACACAGATCCAGCTGGCTAGGTCTTTTAGGACAGCCTCCTTTGCCCCATTCCTGGCTGGCCTGTGCTCTTATTTCCCTGGAGTATGTACTCTTCTGGGTCAGCTTTACATGGTGCCAGAAGTCTTTCTAAAAGCAAAGAACAGGCAGCCTCCCTGTTCTACCCACAGTGTCCCAGGTAACAGACTCATGAGCTACAAGCTGAAGGCTGCCATGGACAAGTACTGTCTAAGCTCTGGGTATGGTGGACAGAGAACCGCCTATAGAAACATAACCTGGGGAAGCCACAGCTCGTCAGGGTCCAGGGATACACATTATTCCTTAAGCTCTGGGACTCGAAGAGGTTTCAGCCAGATAGTGTGCTAGATAAAAGAAAGTTGTGGCAGAATAATCCTTAGCATTCAGTTTTTTTATTTTATTTTATTTTTTTCTTATCAGTTACATTTTATTAACTCTGTATCCCAGCCGTGTCCCGCTCCCTCATTCCCTCCCAGTCCCTCCCTCCCTCCCTCATCTCCACCGTGCCCCTTTCCAAGTCCACTGATAGGGGGGACCTCCTCCCCATTCATCCGATCCTGTTTTATCAGGTATCTTCAGGACTGGCTGCAAAGCCCTCCTCTGTGGCCTAACAGGACTGCTCCTCCCTTGGGGGGTGGAGAGGCCAAAGAGCCAGTCATTGAGTTCCTGTTAGAAATAGTCCTTGTTCCCCTCACTATGGGAAACCAATTGGTTACTGAGCTACCACAGGCTACATCTGAGCAGAGGTTCTAGGTTATATCCATACATGGTCCTTGGTTGAATGTCAGTCTCAGAAAAGACCCTGTGCCCAGATATATTTGGTCCTTGTGGAGCTTCTATCCTTTCCCCATCATACTAACTCCCCTTTTTTTTCATATGATTCCCTGTACTCTGCCAAAGGTTTGGTCATGAGTCTTTGTATCTGCTTTGAAAACACTGCTAGTTAGAGTCTTTCAGATGCGCTCAGTAGACTCCTGTCATACGTTCAATGCACATCCCATCTGTCTTTCTAAACGAGGATTGAACATCTTACCCCATGTACGCTCTCTTGATTATCTTTTTTAGGTGTATAGATTTCATTATGTTTATCATATCTTATAGGTCTATATAAGTGAGTATATACCGTGTTTGTCTGGGATATTTCACTCAGAATGATCTTTTCTAGATCCCCCCATTTGCCTGCAAATTTCATGATTTCATCCTTTTTGATTGCTGAGTAGTATTCCTTTGTGTAAAAATACCACAATTTCTGTACCCATTCCTCTGTTGATGGACATCTGGGTTGTTTCCAGGTTCTGGCTATTACAAACAAAGCTGCTACAAACATGGCTAAAAATATGGAATGCTTCATGAATCTGCGTGTCATCCTTGCGCAGGGGCCATGCTAATCTTCTCTGTATCGTTCCAATTTTAGTATATGTGCTGCCGAAGCGAGCACCAGTTTGTTTTTTTTAAACCCATCATGTACATCAGCTTCCCACCCTGATGATGTCATCTAAAATTTCCAAAAGTCCACAACAACAACAACAACAACAAAAACTAGAATTTTTTTTTTTTTTTACAAGAGAAGCCTGCAATCTGACCAAGAATATAAATTACTATGTCATTTCAGGTACTGAGACATTCAGAGTTACTTTTATATGTATTTTGGACCATAAATAATTCCTTGTTGGAAATTACAAAAACAAATAAATACACTTCAATTATTTGAAAGCTAAGTACTCAGTTCTTGGCAATTCAAATAATTTTTGGGGAAAAAGATCTAAAAATATTTTGGCTGAAACCATCAGAAGAATTCTGTTGGAAAGCAAAGTGGTCACATTTCTTTCTAACATGACCCTTCTTGAACTGTGTTTCCGCAGCTCCACTCAAATGTGGGCCTCAGAGCAATGTGCTTGCTGTGTGCTAGGCACAGCTCTGAACTCAGTACTGTCTTGCTGGCCCCGCCCACCTCAAGTGGGTTCCCACTGTCCATTCTCCTGTGTGGTTTCTGCCACTGCAGACAGGTCCAATGAAGTGGGCCATTCACGGTGGCAGGACAGCAACCCCTGACCTTGTTATTCTTGTCTCTCATGGTTTGTGGCATTCCCAAGCTGGCCTCCCGGTGGTAACCCCTGAGTCCTTGGCTCTAAAGGGTTGGCTGAAGCACACCGTAGCTGTGACTGTGCAGCTGCCAACGCATACCTTGAAACAGGAGACACAACTGCCTTTAGGTTCAATCCACAGAAGTTTACTCTTAAAGTGAGCCAGTCCACAGAAGTTTACTCTCCAACTGAGCAAGTACTACTTCAGGTTTGAAAACATTCTGTTTCTGTGTTTTTACAATTCATCCTCTAACCCACTTTCTCATGACTTATACTTGCGAAGGAGAAAGACACAGAGAACATTTGAGGGAGGAGCTCGAAAGCACAACCCAGATTCAAGCAGAGCAGAGCAGAGCGGAGTGCATGCCCCGACAGGAAGCTGTGAGCTGCGTGTCGCACCAATCCTTTCCTTTCTCCTTTCAGGTTTGGAGCCAACACCTCAGGAGAAATTCATATCATTACAGCCAGGTGACTTAACCTGAATAAATTAGATTCTTAAAGGGGCAATAATAAGGAATTTATTATTAAAATTAAGAAATTTTAATTTGCAGTGCTGGAGATGGAACTGAGGTACTCACCCATGCTGAGCAAGAGCTGTACCACTGAGCCACAGCCCTGGCTCAAAGGAATTTAGGTAAAACATTTACACATTTCTAATTCATGAACTCAACTAAAAGACAATGCTCATAGCAATAGAGGCAAATAGCAGTATTACTCTAGGTTTTAGGAATGTATCCAACATTTTGAACAATGCTATGTATGGCTCCGCATGTGGCCAGTAGGCAATGTAGCCTTAAAATGTTAAGTAACAAAATTTAAAGAATGTTATTGGTATGAGATATTTTTTGTTTGAAATACTTCTGTTGATTTTTTTTCCTGAGTTGGTACTGCAGATGGAACCCATGGCCTGGTGAGTTAGGCAAGTACTGTTCTACTAAGCTACATCCCTAGCTCCCACTAGGGAGTTAGTTATTATTTCTTTGACACAGGGTCTTGTTATATAGGCTGTCCTCAAATTTACAATCCTCCTACCTCTGCCTTCCAAATGCTGGGATTACAGGCACACACAACCACACCCAGCTGGTCTATTAATATATTTCAGTGAGATAAGTCTTTACCAATTCGCAGTAAGAATGTGGAGGAGCCAGATGGAGCCTGCCAAGGACAGAGGCAGCAAAGAAACACATGCTGAATTCAGGCAGACCTTATAAAAAAAAAACAAAAACAACCAAGCCCAACTCTTTCCATTTATATCTGGTCACAGATAATTACAACACATTTGTTATTTCCAGAGACAGCAGAGTAATGGCTGAGTCACATGCCACTTCCTACATGTTACCACAAGTGGCATCAGACCAT